AATACTACTTGCTCTGCTCTTGAATAGTATGATAATACTTCAAAATCAGTAACCCGCTATATCTCTTTTTTTAAAAAAAAAAACATTTAGCTTGCAAATTGGACAATATTCACTTAACTGTTTGAACCATTCACTCTATCTCCCCCTTTCCAACGATTAAAATTTAATAACAAAATTAAAGATAGAAATTTGTTACCTGCTTGAGTTCTTGCTAAGTATTATTATTTCTAAGATGGGTTAATTGAATGTTCTAACATGTAGCCTTCTAGATATATCATGTTATCAAATTATGCATGCTTCAAGCTAATGCGACTTAAATAATATTACATAGATACTTGAGTTAAGAGAAGATTTACTCATAAAAAATATTTGTACTGGGGTTCCCTTGTTGCCTTCTCTTGATGGTCGCTCGATCAACAAAACACAATACCTCCTATGGGCTCTTTTTGTGATGCATTGGATGGCTGGCAACCTAGTAAAACTCAACGCTAGTCATCCTGACAACAACCCTCTAAACCATGCAATACAACCTCACCTGACATCTCAAATAATTTTATGTTAGACAACATGTTTGGATGAATGTTTTTTTATTAAATAATGTATGTATACACATACCCATTGAAATAACCCAATGGCTAAAATTAATGGGAGCATTAAATTAACGAGGATTAAGTTTTAGATGCTTTATCTGTTACAGAAGAAATTTAAAGTTTCCTCTTATTTGTTAAAGGCTTTAATAGATGCTCTAGGAGGGTTCTTTAGGGCGTTTAATAAACCGATGAAATAATACTTTATAATTTTATATATCATAGGGATTAGCCATTGATAATTTTTATTTACTTTTAGGGTATTATTAGGATATATGCTCTTGAGTTTTTCTGTCTTTTAAATTTCTATGATTCTTATTACCGTAGACATTTTTTTAGATAGATTAAAGTAAATCACACGTGTCTTTGGCTATGTATGTTTATAAAATGAAACAAAATGATATAATCTATATTATAAAATGGAGCAATTGCACATTTGACCCTATTTGAATGTCTAACTACCGATTTGACCCTGTTTTGGTCACTTTGCTCATTTGACCCTTCTTTTCAAAACCGAAGCTACACTCTGACCCTCTTCTCTTAAGAGCATTAATCGGTGTTAACAAAAGCCCCAAATACCACTTCCACCCATACTTATTTGACCTTATTTTTCCAAAGTTAGGCCCAATTTTGTGCGGAAGAAAATGCAAGTAGCAAGCTAATGGCGAAGATGTGCGTGGGCGCCAGTGGTCCTCCTTGTCACCGTGCCGCCGCCCCTCCACCATCACCGCCTATCCTCCTCGTCATCGAGCCGACACCATCCCTCTTCCTCCTCTCCTCCTACCATATCCGTGGTTGCCGCCACCCCTCCGCAGCCGCCGCCTCCATTCGCCACCGCCGGCAATCCTCCTCGTCGCTGAGCCGACGCCACCCTCCTACCCTTCATGGAGCTGCTGCTTCCCCTCTGCCGAGTTGTCACCGCCTCTTCCACCACCGCCAGCGGTCCTCCTTGTCGGCGACTCAATGTTGCCTCTTTGCCATCGCTCCTACCCTCCGCGAAGCAGCCGAGGGCCCTCCACAGCTGTTGCCATGTGGCCGCCACCGCTCCTCCTGCCCATCGCGCTTTGGACAGAGAGAGGAGAGAGAGCGGGATAAAGAATGAGCAAATGAGTGGTTGAGGATAAGGTTGATGTATTCAGTGTCATTTTAGTCATTTGGGCTTGTAAATACATGTTTTTCTTTTTTTTCTAAATGAAAAACTCACGATGTAGTGAAAGTAGGGTCAGACGACAACTTCGATTTTGAAAAACATGGACAAATGAGCAAACTTTTTTTAAAAAAGGATCAAATTGATAGTTAAGCTTTACAAAGGGGTTAAATGAGCAAATGTCCCTTATAAAATGTCCTTTATCTGTATTATGCGTCTAATGGTACACATGTTCATCATATCTTAGATATTCGATATGATGCACAAATACCTTGTTAGCAATTGTAGCTCGATGAACTTTTGGTATATAATTTTTAAATTTTAAAGATAGAACGTTTAAAGAGTGTTGAAAGAATATTTTGTATTTATTTTGTAGAAAATATATTTTAATTGTGTATGTTTGCGCAAAAATATAGAGTGATATTTTAAATAGTATAATATAAAATCCTATTTTTAATACCATCGTTTTCTTTCAATGGCACCATGTACGTATTTTTTTCTATTTTACCGCTTTTATCGTAATTAAGTTCGTACACGAGTTTCTTTTTTCCATGTGATACTTCATTGTTTATTAAGTGTATACCACAGTTATACAAAGTTATATGTATCTATGTACGTTCTTTTTTTTTTTGGCCCACAGCATAGGAAGGTATTTTTATTAAATAGTAGATCTAATCTAATGGTCCAAAATACCAGGTCCACCAATTTAACTGAAAATCGACTGTGAGATTAGATAATGCCATGTAGTTGTCTAGGAGTGTTTGTATGAGTGACACGTGGCGTCTTAGGAGTATTTGTAGGAAGTTTCATGGACTTTTAGTATAGATATTCAAGTAAACCAGAATAAGCCAAATCTACTAAGTCCTTATCAGAAAGTGTTAAACTATAACATCTGTTTCTTGTATATCTAAATCTTCTAATGTATTCAAAAGCAGGCTCATTATACTTTTGTTTAACCAATGTTAAGTATGACAAATTTAATTCGGTCTCACCACTAAAGAAGTAATCACGAAATTTTTATTCTAACTTAGACCAATCATGAATAGAGTGGTGCAAGTGAAATAAACCAAGTAAATGCATCACCAAATAAAGACAATGCGAAAAGGCTAAGTTTCAAAATACTAGCACTAGCTTCTTCGCATTGAATAATAAATTGGTCAATATCCTCTATAGTAGACTGGCCATCTTCTCCAATGAACTTACACATTGAGGCAATCTAAACCCTTGATGATATGGAACATTATCATAGTGGTCAGAATAGAGTTTTTGATATATATGCTTTTTAACCCTAAGTATCTATGCCGAAAGCGTTTTTGAAAGATTTGGCAATCTCATCGCTAAGACTCTTGGGTTATGCTCGTGTGCCATTGACTACAGGATCCGACAAGACTCTTACCTGCTCGTATCCCATATTAACTCCTCGAATTCAACTTAACAAGAAATTGATTGTCCGCATAAATATATAGCCCCTAGGAGAGAAGAGCATCGAATCATAAGCCATAGCCACAAGTCACATCGAATATCAATCAAGAGGAAGTCAATAGCTAGCCAATGATTCTAAGTCGTCGGATTTATTCTCGGTGAATGCTAGTTGGTAAGCTATATTAGCTAGCTCGCTCTCCTATTGTAATCAGTTTGATACATCCTAGAGATGTTCATATAAATTGGATTATGGCTAGTACCCACACCGGGGCCTGAATCAATATAAAAATCCTTGTCTCTCGTCTACTTTACCAAAATCTCGCGTATACTTTGATACCAACGTCTTCTATACTTTAAAACAAACACTGTTATCGGATATATACTATCAACAAGTATATTCTCTACCATTTTACGGACAACATGCATGTAGTCACCACTAAATACAGACACCACACTTATACACTCATGACTGCGTTCCAAACATATGTTAATAGCGCAGATATGTTGATCGAACTATCACAAAACTACAGATTAATTTAGCATCAAATTTATCAGAAACCTAAAGAATTAAGGTCAAGTATGACATAACTATATATTTAATATTGGAGTTATCACGAAACTACAAAATTTGGAGGTCAAATTTTTAGCACTACCATTATGTTTGAGCTATAAAAGTTGCATTTTTGTGATTAAATTGGCACTAAACCTGTAGTTTTATGATAAACTTAACATTAAATTTGTAGTTTTATGATATAACACCTTAAATCAATAGTTTTGCAATAGTTTGAATAAAGTATATGTAGTTTTGTGAAATTTACGCATTTACTTAAAAATAGTATCAATCATGCAATTTGGTTGGAGCTGTCCTAAATTATAGAACTATTCTCCATTTTTATAAAACAGACTAGTAGTACTGTGCGCTAGCTGTAGGAGTACCAGTCGATTAAAGCTTAACTTTGCTTGTTAAACACCACCAATCGGTGGCAAGAGCATCAACAGTTAACACTGCATGCAGTGTGCACGTTCACAGTGCCTCCATGATTTGCTACTCTTAATCTATCGGTGTCTGATCTAATCAAATAAAATGCACGTACGGCGTTAATGATTTTAAACCTGCAAAATCGGCGCAAATTGCTAATCATAATGTAATATACTCCCTCCATCTACTTTTGATAGTTATATTTCTAAATCTAAAAAATTTATTTTCGATAGGCATATTTCAATCCAATAACTTATCCTCTTAATAACTTTCTCGGATTTAATGTGTGACTCACCATTCTTCCATATAAGATTGGCTGCATAGGCATCGAGAAATGTAAATATTAATAAATCGTTTGTTTACGAGGAATGACTAGTACTCCCTCCATTCCAAATTGATCTACATATTTCATAGGTACACCAAGACCAAGAAAAACTAATAACTCTCTTATACTATCTTTACTCTAGCAACAAACTCAATGCAGGCACCATCCCCACTATTTCCTAGCCAATAGCAAATCAAGATATTGCATGTGGGTTATAAATACTTGTGTGCATAGATGCATGCATCAATGTCCATTTACTCCAATGTACAAGCAACGAATAAACCTAATGAATGAACACAAATATGTAGATCATTTAGAAATAACCTCAAAAATACTATATGTAGATCAATTTGGAATGGAGGGAGTAGCATGTTTGAATGGATGATAAGTAGAATTACTTATCCTTGATCTGTGTGCCAAGATGAAAATATAACTATCAAAAGTAGATGGATGGAGTAATTAGCTGACCTCAGATCACTCCCAGCTAGTAGCCTTTATCGATCTATATAAACCACATTCCTGGCCTGCTTTTTCTTCACTCATCCACACACAGCTCTCTAGCCTCTTGCCACATAGTCCAAATAACAACAGAGTTTGAGGATTGATTCAGCAATGGCAGATGTAGCACGAGCGCTACTCTTCGCCGCCCTCGTGATGGCTGTCACCGCCGCTGCGGACGGCGAGGCGGCGGCGATCGTCGTCGGCCAGGCCAAGTGCGGCGAGTGCACCAGGAAGAACATGAAGGCGCAGGATGCTTTCAAGGGTATATATATCATGATATATATGTTCGTCGCTAATTAATTGCGTGGTCAGTTCGATCGAACGATATATCACCGTCGTTGATTAATTTTTTGGTGATGTTCAGGTCTCCAGGTGGCGATCAAGTGCAAGAACAGCGACGGTGTGTACGAGAGCAAGGCCATCGGCGACCTCGACGGCGACGGCGCCTTCAGCGTGCCCCTCGCCGCTGACGACCTCCACGGCGCCGCCGACTGCTTCGCGCAGCTGCACAGCGCGGCGAGCAGCACGCCGTGCCCCGGGCAGGAGCCGTCCAAGATCGTGCCGCTGTCGTCAACAACGGACAACGGCGTCGATAAGGCTAACACCTTCGTGGCCGTCGCCGGCAAGAGGATGTACTCCTCCACGTCGCCAGCGGAGTGCACGTCGGCGTTCCTGTACGACTACTTCCACAAGCACCCCTTCTTCGACTATTTCCACAAGAAACCCCAAGGACCTGAACCCAAGCCGGACCCCAAGCCGACGCCATTGCCGGCGAACGGTGGTGGTGGCGGTGCAGGAAACGGTGATGGCGGCGCCGAGGGGAACAGTGGCGGAGCTGCGCCGTCTCCCAGCTCTCCGCCTGTCTACCACTGAAAAATTCATCCATTCCATCAACCCACACATGGTCTGTTTGATTGCATGCATGGTTAATTTTATCGTTCGGTTCTTGCGTGATTAATTAATTTCCAGGTCAGCTTGTTCGTGCAGAATTAATAAAAGTTGTGATGTGAGGAGTGTGAGTGTGTGAGAACGATCGATTTATGTGTTGGAGACTTCAGTGCACAAGCGTGTTGGTTTTCAGGAGAAATAATACGTGTTCCAGAGCGCTCTATATATGTGTGTCGTGTCTCTATTTATTTGCATATATATGTAATTCGGTAATGTAATTTATATATTTATAAGAAATGGAAAATTGTTCCTATTGCCACAGAATTTTCTCTCAAAATTTACTTATACATGTAGTTAATTAAAAAATAGTTGGACGGAGATGTTGACCTCTTGCTGCTGCTGCTGCTGCGTGGACGCGGACGTGGATCACACGGGCGGTGGCGGCGGGCCCTGGAGGAGGTGGAGCAGCAGGCGGCCGCGGTGATGGAGAAGCAGGAGTCGGAGGCGGGCGAGGAGAGGCATGGTTGGTGCGGATTTGTGGTTGGTAGCCGAGACCGTGGGAGGCCTCCTTCGCCACTCGCCAGCCTCCCTCCCCGCCCAGTTCGCTGAACTCCCCAACTCGTCCCTCTCTACGCGCTCGTTTGCGGAGAGAGGAGAGATATAGGTAGTATAGATGGTCATATGGCCTAGGGCCCGCGACCCGGTCCAAGGCATACCAATTTGGCCTGGCCCAAACACGGCACAGTCCGATTGGGTGACAGCCACCCTGTGCTTGGGTCGCTCCCTCGGCATGGTGGGCCGATCCAGCCCTCACGGCACGATCGAAAAAAAATAGTAGAAGAACGTAAAATAGACTTAATTAACCATATAAGGCAAGGCCGAAGACAAGAGGAATACAAAATAGACTTATTTTCCAGCCATATGGACACAGCCCACAGAGGTTTAGGAAGAACAAATAGACTTATTCTATGAAGAAACACGATAGGCTGTCGTGCCTTCGGGCTAGCTCAACACGACCCGAGTCTTACTGGGCCTGGGTTGTGTGTGCAGCCCATGGGCTGGCATGGCATGCCCCGGCGTATAAGTCGGGCCGTGTCGGCCTGACTGACTTCGGCCCAGGCCCGGCCGTGGCGGGCGGCCCATTTAGCCATCTATAATAGGTAGCGAGGGTGAGGTGGAGAAAGTGGGACCCACATGTAGGTCCCACTATTTTTTATTTTCTTGTTTGACTAACATGTGGGTCCCACATATTTTGTTTTAATATTTTAGTTTTCAGTTTTGCTCTTTTTATTTTTATTTTGAATCACACTGACACGTAACTCGTAAACGTCAACATCAATGCCATGTAAGACAAAAACCTAGTTAAAGAAGCTACGTAGGTGTCATGTTAGCTAACGTGAAAACTAGGAATAATACTGTCGAGGAATCTCGTTTGCATTGGTTTTATGTATATTGGGGGATACACTGAATCTGTTTTGTGGTTTAGAGACGAATTTCTGACTCGACGACAAGGTAAGGGACCAAAAGTGAACTTGTTCCTCAGCAGTTTAGCACACGCATCGACACAGCACAGGCACAGGCATGCATCATGCCATTTGCAGGCCCGTGCCGTGTTGGGTCGTCACTGACGGGTGGGTCCGAGAGCGGTGGGCCACACGTCAGCCACCACACGGTTCCTTTGATTTTACGTCAGAGTATCTCAATCCTCCATTTGGACAGCTATAAGTAAAAACAGAAATTTATATTTATTTATTTTCACTTTTAGCAGCAAAAGTTGGGGATTTTGGACTATTTGCCATCCTCTTGAATGACGTATTCCCAAATGCCATCTTCCCAAATAACTTTGATGTTTTACCATCCGAGTCCACTGATTTGTCTCTATTTTACCACTTTTTACTACCAACTCAGCAAATTGAGTAGAAAATGACTTGACTGCCCCTCATATCTATCATTTTCCTTCTTGTTTCTTCTTCCTTCCATACACAACGCACGCATGTTCAGCTGACTAGCTTTCTCGTGGCATTCTATGCATTGCCAATTCCCTCATTCCAAGGCATTCGACCTCGTCGCTCATTACCTCTGAGGAATGGAGCCGCCACAGCCATCAAAAGGACAATGACGCCGACGTCAGCGTAGGAAAGCAGCCTCGTCGACGTCCTGTTCATGTGCTACCTTGGGGTGATCATGCTCACCGGCTTCAATTAACGTCATGTTCAATTAATGCACCACCAACCATCTAGCTTGTCAAGTCGCTTCATAGTCGGCTCTGCTTCTTTGGCTCGACTTGTGGTGGACGGGGATGAGCATCCGGTCAGCAAAAAATGGCCGCTGTGTTTCAAAATTTTCTCTGGCTGTCTGTCCATGCGCGCTGGTGCCACTCCACCGGCGAGAGTGATCATCGCCACAAGGCGTGTGGCGTCAGGCTCAAATTGTGTAATGTGTGTGCTGTTGAGCCTCTTGTAGGGGAGCAGCAGAATGAGCAATGCCACCACCGTAGAAGACGCGCAAGACTACTCTGCCACATCATTGATGCCTGAGAGCAAGAAGGAAGAAGGAAAATGAGAGATGGGAGGGACAATAAGGTTATTTTCTACTCAATTTGCTAAGTTGATGGTGAAAAGTGGTAACATAAAAACAAATCAGTGGATCTGGATGGCAAACCATTAAAGTTATTTGGGAAGAATATGCCACTCAAGAGGATGGCAAATAGTCCAAAATCCCCAAAAGTTGTAGGGTTAATTAGACACATGCCATTACTAATTTGAAGGTTTGGAAAAATGCCATTACTATTTGACAAATTGTAAAGATGCCATTACAAATCGCACGATACTGGAAACATGCCACGTTCTACGCCTGATCCGCGATTGTTGACCACGTGTGACTAAAATTTGTTCTTAATGACCAAAATGCCCCCGTTTGACCGGCTATACTGACTGGAGTCGGGTTAGCAGGAGCAGCACACATTTTATCCCCTTTCTCGTTCTCTTAGACCTAACCCTAGCAGGAGCAGCGACGACGGCGGCGACGTCATCTACGGCGGCCGCGGCGACGACAACGTCTACGGCGGCGGCGGTGGTGGCGACGGCGCGGGCTACGACGGCTGCGGTGGCGTCTTCGACGGCGGTGGCGACGGCGTCTACGGCGGCAGCGGCGGCGTATTCGGCGGCGGCGGCGACGGCGTCTACGGCGTCAGCGGCGACGACTCTTTCTTTCCATGGAGGGGTTGGAAACGTACTGCAAGGGATGGAGCCCAAATCAAGGTAAGGTAGTCGATTCCTTCGATTCGATGTGCCGTGAGCTGAATGTGTAGGTTTTTTTTCTGTGCATTCCATGTGTGGTTGACTTGATTTCATTCCAATGTCAGTACACTATTGTTCTCGATAGAGTTAAAGGTTCATGGTTTTACCACCATAGATTCGGATGGTAGACGGAGGTATACTAAGGGTTGTGTGCTGAAATGGGATGTTGAGTATGGTAGCTTCTCTTTGGATTTGTTGATGCTAAGCTTAAGCTCAGAGGTTAGATGGGGTGAGCAGCAGACTGCAACAGTGTGGTTTTTGACAAGGGCAGTAATGAGGACGTTAGAATTGTCCATGAATCTCAACTGGTTGACATGTTTGAAATGTACCAAGTCAGAAATGCATGCTGAATTAATGGTCTTAGTTGTTGAGAGTGTACTCTGCGATGCTAGTGCTAATAACATGGAGCCAACATCAATGCCATTGTGTGTTCTTCGACTTACTCAGACAGGGCAGGGAGCATCTGCATCTAAAGTGGCAGTTTCAGGTGAACCTGCAACTCAAGAAGCGGATGAAACATTGCCTAATGTGTTTGACATGGAGAAGTATGTGGGTGTTGATGATGAGGGAATTTATATTCAACCTATTCACACCATTCCACCTACAGATCATGCTGAAACCTCTGGTCAACCTAGTGCTGAAAATGCTAAACCATGTGTTGAAAATGCTGAACCTGGTGGACCTTCTGGGACTGCTCAACCTCATGGTGAGGTTGAGGTCACTGATGATGACCCAGCAGAGTTTAATGTTCTTCATAACCTTGAGATGCCAGTGATTAAGGAGGAAGCTGTTTTTCCTGACATGATAACATTCAGAAAAGCTATTAGGCACTTTGCGGTTGTTACAGGATTTGAACTCTCTAATTTGCAAACAGATCCAACAAGATTCATTGCCCACTGCAAGCATGAGGGGTGTAAATGGCGCATTCATGCATCAAGGTTGTCTAATGGCAAAACTATTCAGGTTTCTATGTCAATTTGCACATTTGTATCCATTTTGCTTGAAAGTTGTGACTTATAGCACTATTTAAAATGTGTGTGCAGATAAAGAAGCTACCATTTGCACATGAGTGTCCCACAACCAAGCTCATGGAAGGGAAGATGGCCACTCAAGACTGGATTGCAGATAGACTGAAGGATTGGTTAAAGAAAAACCCTAACAAGGGAGCTAAGGCAGCAAAAGAGAAACTTGAAGAGCGATATGAGATCAAGCTGAAGTATTCAAAGGCTTGGGCAGGAAGGAGGCTTGCTGAGAACCAGATTCATGGCACTTATGAAGATAGTTTTCAGCTGTTGTTCGACTGGAAGGCAGAGATTGAGAAGAGGTCTCCAGGTACAATTGTTACAATTGATTTGCAGAAGTTAGGGAAAAATATGTGTTTCAAAAGGATGTTTATTGCTTTCAAAGCATGTGTAGATGGATTTGTTAATGGTTGTAGGCCATATATAGGTGTAGATTCAACTAGACTAACTGGTAAATACACTGGTCAGCTAGCCTCAGCCACATCTGTTGATGGACACAATTGGTTGTTTTATGTTGCATTTGCAATTTTTGACTCAGAGACAGATGACAACTGGTTGTGGTTTATGAAACAGTTGCATGGAGCTATAGGTGCTCCTGAAGGGTTAGTCATATCAACAGATGCATGCAAAGGGCTAGAGAAAGCTGTAGGTGCTGTATTTGAGAAAGCTGAACATAGGGAGTGCATGAGACACCTTTATGGTAATTTTATGAAGAAGTTTAGGGGTCCTATTTTCACACTGCACTTGTATCCTGCTGCAAGATGCTTCACAGAGGATGGTTTTAGAGATCATATGCAGCAGATTTATAATTTATTTCCTGAAGCCATTGATTACCTAGACAAACATCATTCAAGGATATGGTATAGGTCTGGTTTCAAGGAAACTTGCAAGTGTGATTACTTGACCAACAATGCATCTGAAAGTTTCAATAATCAGATTAAATCTCTGAAGGGTCTACATCTCCATGAGCTAGTTGATTCTCCTAGAGAGTTATTCATGGAGAAGATGTATTTGAGGAGACAAGTTGGTGAGAAGTTGACTGATGGAATCCTGCCCAGTGTGATTAAACAGCTCAATGCAGCAACAACCAACCTGAAAGTTGTAAAGGTTGCTAGGAGTGATGATGACATGGCTGAGATCACATTGGTTGAGAGTGACAACAATACCAGAAGGCACACTGTGCATTTGATCAACCAAACATGTTCATGCAGAAAGAGGCAGGTTTCAGGAAAACCTTGCAATCATGCCTTGGCATGGATATGTTCCAACAGAGGAGTTGAGATTAAAGATTTGTTTTAGAGTACTTTTCTGTTGGCATGTTCAGAGCAGCTTATGCAGGGAGAGTGCCAACTATGCCAGACAAATCACAATGGCCTGTGGTGAATTTAGGCTTCAAAGTCTGTCCACCTAGACTCAAGAGGGGTGCAGGGAGGCCTAGAGTCACTAGGATCAGGGGTGCACTTGAACCAGGGGCAAGAAGGGTGCGATGCAGGAGATGCCATGGTTTTGGGCACTTTGCCAAGACTTGCAAAGAGGCTGAAGCACCAGAAGACACTGATGAAGTGCCTACTGCTTTCCCCAAGAAGAGGTAATATGCTGCATGGTTGACTATTTATTTTGAATTCTTTTACATATGTTGCATTTGCTAACTAACATATCCATATCACTGTTTGCAGGAAGAAAACTCAAGATGAAAGTTCATCAAGGCCTGCTAAGAAGAAGAAGACACCCAAGAAAAAGAAGACGCCCAAGAAAAAGAAGACACCCCAGAAGAAGAAGGATGCTCGAGCTGCCTCAGAAGGCCCAGCTAAAGTTGTTAGAAGCCTGTCACAATATTTACAATCCTGAAGTTTGTGTGTTTTGAGGCCTTGCTAACATGCCACTGTGATATGCACTATATATTGTATTTTGAGGCCTTCCTGACTTGCTGTAGTGATATGCACTCTATATTGTATTTTGAGGCCTTCATGTTACCTGCCACTGTCTTGAACCTGTATTTTGAGGCCTATGTTGCCTGGCACTGTGATATGCACTGTGTGCAACATGTGAACATGCAGTATGCTGAAATTAGTCCAAACCTGTGAACATGCAGTCCATATTGTGAAATATTGCTGATCATTTGAACACATGCCATGTGAAATATTTGTTGCTGATCATCTCAACTTATACCATGTGAAATATTTGTTGCTGATCATCTCAACTAATACCATCTGAATGCACAAATTTCCTGTGAACTCATTTTCCTGTACTTCTTTTTCATTTGTCTCAATGATGGGCAGTCTTTTCAAAGAGGAAATAAAAACACAGAACTTTCAGTTCTTTATATACTTCACACCAAAAGATATTTCAATGTCCTATACCTTCCTTTTTTTTTTACACCAAGTGAACATATATTAGCATAGTTTTAGTGCAGGAGTCAGCAGTTAGCTCTTGCTGCAAACACACAATATCAGCTTGTACCTTGAGCTGCCAGACTTATCCTTAACAGAGCACCCAGAGTGGGAAATTAAATCCATATAATTAACACACCTATGTCATTACTCAGAAATTGAATCCACATAATTTATAGACAGTGATTAACATTACACAAAATGGCACTGATTTACCTACTTGTACCAAATATGGCCACAAAATTTACAGAACATACATAGAAATACATAATTATGGCCAACAAGAACAACATCACATAAAGTTGTCTACTACGACTACACTTCTCTTCTTTCAACATCTTCTTTAGCTGCTCACACTTTTTCTTAGAATCATTCAGCTGCTGATATATGGATTGCATCTGCCTATGGTTTGCCTCAACCAAACCCTGCATCCTCGACCTCTCTTCCTTATGCTCTTCTGCAAGCTGTCGCAACATGTCTCTTTGACCATCGTCCTCACCAGCATGGGAATAAGCAACCATTTCCTCCACATATTCGTTCAACAGATCCTCCCATATTCACAACGAGCAACACTTTGGCTGCACAACACATCTCAAATCAATGGCATCAATCAAGAAAACGAAACAAAAAAGAAAGGAATTTCAACAAAAGAAAATGAAAAACAATGGGGTTTACCTCTTTCCCACACTGAATCCACCGCCGCCCTAGATTCCTCGAGGTGTTGGATTTGTTCACTGCAGCGGCTTTGCCGCAAGCACATCTCAACCATGGTGCCGACGACGCTGCGGCCCGTGTGCGCTGAAAGCTACAACCGCTCGAGCCCGTCGAACGAATCGGGCTGCCTCTCCCCGCCATTGCCGCCAAAGCCCGCCGCTGCCGCCGACACTGCCGCCAAAGCCCGATGCCATCGCTGACGCCGCCGACGCCGCCTCCAAATCCCGCCGCCGCCGGAGAAGCCTAGTGTTAGGTTTACGGTTCACTGTGAATGCACTTGGTCAAACTGATTCCACTCGGTCCCTACATACTCATACACAAGGGCATTATGGTCCATACGTAAATACGGTACGCATAAAAACGAGTACAATCGCGGATCAGGCGTAGAACGTGGCATGTTTCCAGTATCGTGGGATTTGTAATGGCATCTTTACAATTTGTCAAATAGTAATGATATTTTTCTAAACCTTCAAATTAGTAATGGCATGTGTCTAATTAACCCAAAGTTGTAACGGCAGTTGCAAAGGCTTGGGCTCTAAAACCCCCCTCTTCCTTCCGCTTCAATTCCATTTCATTCCAATCTTAGGGATTCCATGGAACCCTACCTCCGGTGATAGCCGCCGCCGCCGCCTCGGGCGATGGCCTCCGCTTCCGGCCTCGTCAACGCCGCCCTCCCGGACGACCTGCTCGCGGAGGTGTTCCGCCGCGTCGCCGCCGCGGGGGGCAAGGCCGACCTTGACAGCTGCGCGCTCGTGTGCCGCCGCTGGCGCGGCGTCGAGCGCGCGTCCCGCCGCGCCGCCAGGGTCCCCGTCGACGGGCCCGACGGCGACGCCGTCGTCCGCTGCGTCGCCGACCGGTTCCCGGGCCTCGCCGATGTCTTCCTCGACCACGGCCTCTACATTGCCGCCGGCGCCTCCGCCGCCGCCGCGGAGCGGAGCAGGGTGAGTCCTTCTCTGGCTGCAGTTCGGGAATCGCGCGAAATTCTCGCATCTCTTGTGTTCCCCTGTGGAATTGAATGAATGATCCGATGTTTTATTGGTTCAACAACTAAATCCGTGGTTAAGATTTTGTTTTCTTGGTCTCCCTGAGAAATTAGCATTTTGCCAGAGCTGCATATAATTTAGATCTCTGGAAACTATTTTCTTGATGTGGTTTGTCTATCAATTTTGCAAGTCACTAATGCACTATTTTTGTCACAGGCACAGGGTTGGGATAACGAAAACCCCAAGTTAGATGAGCAACATATGCAGTGTTCCACACTAAGCGAAGATACGCAAAAAGAAAATGGCAGTGATGGTGTCAACCCAACCTCATTTACTGATGCTGGGCTACTTCATCTCATTGAGGGTTGCAAAGGGCTTGAAAAGCTGACTCTAAACTGGTTTTTGCACATTTCTGAAAAGGGGCTGGTGGGAATTGCAAATCGTTGCCGGAATCTGCAATCGTTAGCGCTTTCGGTAATTTCTTGTTAGTTGTACTTGTTCTGTTTTCTTTCGTGCATTCAATATTGTTTCACACGTAGCATGATCTGCTTTCATTTCCAATGCGGGCAAATCTTTGGAACTATGAAGAAGTTAATGCTTCCTTATGGTGAATGGTGATCATAGATGCCTCTTTTATTTTAACTATTTTGTCGAATGAAACTTGAGGATCATATTGTAGCAATAGTGAGTTCCGTTGTGGTAATGGTCTCCTTTTTGAGGTTTATCATTGTCCAAGTCAGCAGTTCACGTTGTAAACTTCGCATTGAGGTTTCATTTCATGCTGATATTTAGTGTTGTATTCCCCTGAGTTTCATTTTTTATTGACAACATTTCTTACAGGGTGGCTATGTTCAAAACCATGGGTTGATTACTCTGGCAGAGGGATGCAATCTTAGTGAATTAAAGCTGTGTGGTGTTCAAGAGTTGACGGACGAAGGACTGGTTGAATTTGTAAAGATACGTAGTAAATCATTGGTCTCTCTTGATATTTCTTTCTGCAATGGTTGCATAACATACAGATCCCTGTATGCAATTGGTACCTACTGCCATAACTTGGAAGTCCTATCCGTGGAGTCCAAGCATGTTAATGAAAACAAAGGAATGATCTCTGTTGCAAAAGGATGCCAATATTTGAAATCCTTAAAGATGGTATGGCTTGGTGTCGGCGATGAAGCTTTAGAAGCTATTGGTTCATCTTGCTCTGCTTTAGAAAATTTGTCACTTGACAACCTTAATAAGTGCTCAGACAGGTAATAGGTCCAATTATTAAATCTACTGTTGCATTTTTACAGGGATGGAAGTATCGGTGTCTCATTTCTCTTAGAAATTTGATATAGCTTATACTGATACTGCATTGTGATGCTTATAGAATTGAAGAGTAGAAATGCTGAACCATTTGTTAACAATTGTTTTATAATTTTTTTATATTGATTTGAACACATGCTCTTTTCTTAATTTCAGTAGTGAACCACCTGAGTATAAGTTTGCATGTTAAGTAGTAAATAAAGAATTATGTTTTCTCTAAGTACTGCACCTTGAGAACTTTGGCACCATAGGATATTTAAAGCAGACTACAGGAAAGTTAATTTTTTGTGCGATTAGAATTCTTAGGCCAAGATAATGGTACAAGGTTAACATCAATAAATGTTTTACATAAAAATGAAATCAGCGTAAATATGAAATTGATAAATTGAGGGTGCAATTTATGCCTTTTTTTAGGACCTTCCCAAACTTTCAGAGAAATATGCACTTCTTTTTTGTAAAAAAAGAAGTTCAATAATGCACCTGTAGATTTCTCACTTTTAGGAGTAATTGTATATATTATTGTAGTTGGGTTGTGAATAATATACTGAAAATATGGGAAAAATCACTTGTGGGGCATATTTGCCCTGTTTGGTTTCAAATTTTCATGATCATCGTGGATATTATTTATGACAAAAAAAAAGAGTAAACTTCATAAGTAACTTTTCCTGGTTTGACAGCATTTGTCCCCATAATTTTGCGGGCGTACATGTGTTCAGCAAATGCTCCAATATCCACTTTTTTGGAGAGTTTTTGGAACACTTTCAATGTCCAACCAGCATAAAGGTGGTTACTAGTATAAGTACCAATCCAATTGTTCCTTCTGTTTCAAAATATTTGTAATGCCCACAGTTCGCACAAGCCAGCTAGAAGCACAAAATCTAAGAAAAAGTTGGTAAGAGAGTAAGAAACCATGGCTGCTCCCTAATAAATTCATAATACGGCCACCTAACTTTCAAAAACTTTGATTAAGGACGGTGGAAGGCAGGTGGTAGGGAATGAGGGTAATCTTGCAGGTAGAAGCCACCTACAATATTTGTGCATTGCTTAAGAAGGTATTTCTCCATTGAGGAGATCAAGATGTAGCTATTGAAAATTTTTCCACCTGCGACAGTCTTGCAGGTGGTAGGGAATGAGGGTAATCTTTGGTGTCTAGTGGGAGCATCTGCCCCGCCAAAAGTTTTTTAGTGGTTCGGCAAACCTAGGCAGCTAGATAGCCGGGGTTGACCGGGGTGTGGGTGTGTTTTTTGCGGTAGGAGGGCATTGGTCTCTTCTACTTTGTATTTTTCTTTTATTTTCTTCCCCTTAATGAAATGAAACTCAATTCTCTTGCGTTTTCGAGAAAAAAACATATATTGTGAAATAGTGGAATTACTCCTATAATTGTGCTGAACAAACTATCAGCACATGGGTCTTACTTGTAAGACACCGTTAGAACAACAACTACTTTGGTGAACTACTGTATCATTTATAGTTTATCCTTTCCTATATATGGAAAGTCAAGCAATCCCCATCAAAACATCAAGAAATCTGCTATATGCGAAGTTTCTTTTCTATAGTTTTCTCATGTCCACTTACTTTAAGATTTATACCTACATGAACATGGCACACAATATGTTGTTAAATTTTTTAATTGGTATGTATATTTGCAAGTTAGTTCTCTCTAAAAATCAGCATATTAAGAGTAATCTCCTGAAACGGTCCATTCAAAGTGGATATATTGGTCAAGACATTTTATGTATGCATCTTCTAATGCATGACTGTGCTGTAGTAGTACTGTGTTACTTGACACCGTTTATCCCGCCACAGTGCAATGTTAGTTGGGAAGAACCATAGACGGGACTAGAATAATTTGTTTCTTTCTAAGTTGTGTTTATTTCCTTATATGCGTGTTCCTTTTATTTGTGACAAGTTTCTCTAGATTTAGATACTATTTCTTAAAGGTTAAGCAAATTGTGAAATAGTTGCTTAAAATTATTATGTTTTTCAACTGTAATTCTCTATGAAATATCAAAAAACCATAAACCAAATTTTAGATTTGCCAATATAGAAACCCAAAATGTAATTATACTGCTTATAAGGCTAAGTACAAGCCTGATTCAAGTATGCTTTGCTACAAGGTAATCAAACAAGGAGTACTGGTTACTGAGGTTTAAAACCTTATAGCAAATTTGAATGGTTGGCATCTACTGATCTGTAAATGATGAAAGTTATACATGTGAAATATTTATCAATGACTAGTTGCCTACTGCTTGCACTTCTTACCTTGTTGTAGTATATTTTCTAGGAATATATGGCTACTTATTTTCACTTCAGTTCCCTTTTTCTCTTATTGCAAGCATTGACCATTCTTTGACTTCTGTTGTTCTTTTCAGTAATGCCCCTTATCTTTGGAGCGATGTCCTAGGGCTTTATTCAACTGCTAATCATTTGCTACTGCAGGAGCCTTTTTTCCATAGCAAATGGATGCAAGCAGCTGAAAAGTCTAATTATCAAATCGTCGGTCAAATTCACAGATAGAAGTATTGAACGTGTTTCCCAGAACTGTAAAATGCTACAACACATGGAAATTAACATGTGCCATATTATGGAAAGTGCTGCATTGGAGCATATTGGACAGCGATGCATGTATGTTTCTTCTTGATTACTTAACATATTGCAACTCGCGCAATTTTTATTTTGACATGGTACAAAGTTTGTTTTTGTTAACATACTTCCTACCTTGTACTTTTCAATTTATACATATATAAACAGGATTTCTTTTATTATTTGCTAGTCCGTTGAGGTTTGGACTAAATGTATTCCTTTTGACAAAATATGCACGTTGTTTTGTGATAAATTAAATTGGAGATTAGGAAAACTGAAGGTGTGCTAATATGCGGTAACAAATAATTAATAAGCCTGAAAGTTTCAACATTTCCTATTCAATCCACTTGTTATTTTGATGTTTGTACAACAGCTGTAATCTAAGTTGCATATCAAATGTTTGCTCAAAATGGAAGGTTAATGTTAGTCCAATTGTTCGTATTCTCTTGAATCCAGCTATGATTAGAGAAATAAAAAGTTGGAACAAAATCAACAATTCCCAGACATGTATTGGACTTGTTTCCCCTGTTAAGTGTTCCACAAATGTTTCCCAATGAGTAAATTTTACATAACTACATATTTTATGGTCCAAGTTGCAGAAAACTACACATACTTTGACATTTGGCACTTAACTACATATATTTTGGTATTAAAGTTTCACAAAACTACACTATCAACGAAATGGGCCATTCGCGAGATGGCGCGGTTGTTCCACCTAGGATGCAGACTTGGGAACTTCATCCTAGGTGGAACAACAACAATGCCACGTTCGCGGCCTAAATATGTATAGATAAACATCCATGTCATCTCACAGGTAGGCCCATTTGTTAATAGTATAGTTTTGTGAGACTTCAATATCAAAATATATGTAGTTAAGTGCCAAGTGTCAAAAGGTGTGTGGTTTTGTGAAATTCACTCTTTCCCAAATTATCAACATGTCTAACAAATGTCAGTGTGTGCAATATACTGGTATAATGATTGAAGTGCTGTCGAAACCTAAACTTATTAGTCTCGTGGTTAAGGAACAGACAGTTTTTTAGTAAAAACAATTTTATGAAGTAGTGTAATTTTACCTTGTTTAACTTAGATAGCAACGGAGTAGTCTAAAAACGATTTTTTTTTACCTGGTTTGGTGTGACGAGATTAGCACATCAGGCCTAATTCCCATAGCATGCACATGACACGTATTCTCTAAACTAGAACCTTCACTCTTTTTGAATATATTAGTAATTTATAATATCATAATACTATGCCTCTGTTATTTTCTTATGGGCAAATTTTGAAGAACTGGGTTCTCAGCTGCTTTTGTCATTCTAAATTATATAGGTTTTGGGCGATACATGCTACTACTCTAAGCAATTACTTTTGCCTTTGTCCTACTGTCAAGCTAGACTTCACAATATACTGTTGATTTTTTTTCTTTTGTGTTTGTACATGTTAAACGCAGAAATCTTCTAGGGCTCACTCTAAACAGTCTGTGGATTGACAATAATGCATTTCTCGGATTTGGTCGATGTTGCTTCCTTCTCAAGTCTGTCTGTTTGGCCAACTGTTGTAAAATAAGCGATGAGGCCATATCTCACATAGCTCAAGGCTGCAAGAACTTGAGAGAGCTTTCTATCATCTCTTGTCCTCAGGTACATTTCTAGTTTGTATTAATCTACATTTATGAAGATTGATTTTACATTTAAGAAAAAAATGATCTATACCATCAAAATTTACCTTCAGATTTATAACACTAAAAGTTTGTGGTACATTTTAATACCACCAAAATTTTACTTCCATCTCCCCGCCCAATTTTCCTTTTCTTTTGGTGCGATGTTCAAGACTTTGTCTCCAATCACTTCAAGGTGATGGATTTGTACCAGTATAGGGAAATGGGCATGGCTAGCGAGGAATAATGCATGCTTTCTCCAGTCACTTGTTTTGATCATACGAATGATGATACGTTATCACTAAGTCATACAGATCACTATGATAGTTTGTCTTAGGGTGATCTTGCAGAGCACCTTGTGTCTTCACATAGTGATTCTGCATATCACAGCTTTTGTACGATCACTATATTTATCTGAATAGTGATCATCAACGACTTGTCCCAGTATTATAATTTACATTGTTAATCAATACTTCCTCCGTCCCAAAATATAGCTACCTAGTACAGGATGGGACATTATCTAGTACTATGAATCTGGAGAGCCTGTCCAGATTCATAGTACTAGGTAATGTCCCATTCTATACTAGGTAGCTACATTTTGGATCGGAGGAAGTATATAATAAGAATAAAAATCCTTATTTTTGTTGTTATTATTATACAAAATAATAATACAGTACATGTGGAATACGGGTTCAATCTCAAGAGACATGCCCATTGAACAAAAGATGCATGTTGATGAAAGGTGCCTATTTGTCCCTTTAGAGGCTATACATATGGAAGCCATAAACACCTCCAAGGGGAGGATCCTGAAGTCCTTTTTTTTACATAAATTTCCTGTAACAAAGTTTCATTGTAGTCTCAACATTTCCAAGGGAGTAACTGAAGTCAGTCTCCCTTTATTTGAAATTTTGAATTTCTCAGTATTGGATTGTTGGCACCATCTGTTGTGAGAATAGACCCTGCCATTGTCGTGGGGATGACCCTGCCATTGTGTCCATGGAGCCACCATCAAAAGTCATTGCTGGGTAGGGCCCTTGATGTCATAGACTATGCCACCGATCTCATGGACGAGGATTTTTGTCATCCTTGCTGATGAATCAAAGAATCCCTTTGGCGAGGCAAAACTGTCACATGCCGACTCCACATTCCCTGGCAGTTTGTAGCAAGTAGCAACTTTTCTGTCCACAAGCACAAGTATTTCCTGAGCCCCCCTCCTGTTGAAGGGAGAGATCCAAAGAGCGATGAAGGAATGCTGAGTCATCATGGTCTCATAACGGCTTTGTTGATGAGGATTTAGCACATGACTCTGAGTAGAATCTTTTCCTGAGTCTTAACCACATCCCTTCTCCCTCATTCGATGTGGTAATGTTCTCCTGCTTTGTCAACTCTGGCATTTGCCAGGTTACAGTTGTCTTTCATATTTGCCAATTAGGCTAATGTTTATCCCAAGACCAACATGTGGCAAGCCGACACCAGAGTTTGCTGCTCGGCTGCTCCCAAACCGGAATACGGAATGAGAAAATGTTTTTATTTTATTTCATTGTAACTTTGCTTGTATATATTAAGTTGAAGTTTTACTCTGCAGATCGGGGATGAAGCATTACTATCTGTAGGTGAGAATTGTAAAGAACTTAGAGAGTTGACCCTCCATGGTCTTGGGAGGTAAGTACTTGAATCCATGATTCACTTTTTTACATGTTCTAATCAAAGATAACTTTAATTCGTTAGCCTTTCTTAGATGATAGTTCCAATCAAAAGTTAAATTGACTTCCTGAGTTCAAAGTGAAAGGTATACAGTTGAGTTGCATGTCATTAATTTTTCCATTTTATAACATTTTCTTCAAAGCATTCTGACATCATTCTGTTCTAAACATTTTTTTTGTTGAGTATAAAAACTTTTGTTCTATCTATTATGACAAAGATCTGCTAACATTTGGCTTTCATTTACAGGTTAAATGATACCGGGCTTGCTACGGTTGATCAATGTCGTTTCCTTGAGAGGTTAGATATATGTGGGTGCAATCAAATTACTGATTATGGGCTTACTACCATTATAAGAGAGTGCCATGATCTAGTCCATCTGAATATAAGTGATACCAAGGTCTCCCCTCTCTCTCTCAACATCATAAGATAGAAGATATTGATTTTCTTGTTCTAAAATGACCTCTAGTCTTAGTTAATTTCAGAAATTGTTTATAGAATTCGTCATGTTTGTTTTCCTACCTTCATGCATAGCAATTAAAGCATTGATTTTTCCCCTCATGGTCCTGCACTGTTCTTCAGAAAATTGGTGACACCACACTAGCAAAGGTTGGTGAAGGATTCCGAAAATTGAAACATCTCATGATGCTTCGCTGTGATGCGATTAGCGACGTTGGCCTAGAAGATATTGCAAGAGGATGCTTGCAGCTGGAGGCGTGTGGGGTGTTCCGCTGCTCTCAGGTAACTCCAGCAGGCGTGGCAGCCCTAGCTGGAGGCAGCTCCAGATTGCAGAGGATCATTGTTGAGAAGTGTAAGGTGCCAGAGGAGGCCACAGGGAAGTGCAGGATGATCAATGATCCCATCCTTATTTCTTATTATTAAGACGTGAAATTGATGTCTTCCGGGCATAGCTGTGAAGGAAATCCTTTGCTCGTTTGAGCTTACATACATTTAAAATGTGAGAATATTTTAAACAATGATTTCCTGGATGATGGTTGAACTGGTGGGTTTTTATTGTTGGAATGTTTTAAGGAAACTCTTTGCTCGTTGTAGTTTACATACATTTAAAATTCCAGAATGTTTTTAAACAATGATTTGCTGGATGATGGTTGAATTGGTGGGGTTTTTTTTGTTGTTGGGACGCTTTATGGAATGTGCAAGGTCGGGACATACTAATGTTGTGATTTCCTAAACTTTATGATCTAGCAATAATCAAAGGAAACATTTTGATATGATTCTTAATATAAACTTCCTTGCCTCACAAAAGTTTATTTGGAAGTTCTTTAAATTGCAAAAAAGGAGTTTTCTTTTCTAAAGGTTGAGTTGGCTTTGAGCCTTGATTATTATCACTGTATGAAGATTGGTCATTCTTTAATTTGAACTGTGGTTTCATTTGAGACGACATTGTCTAATTAATTAAGGCTAGTACGTTTTACCTACTAGGAATAGTTATTAATATAGGCATAGTACTTCAATTCAATCTTATAGGTATCGGTCGTACTTAAATTCAATCTTTTTCCCTTTGGGAACATGTACTTCTGGACCTGAAGCTTAAAGGGAATTATGGATTAGAAGGGTTTAAATAAATGTAGGCTGTGTTTAGATCTAAAGTTTGGATCCAAACTTCAGTCCTTTTCCATCACATCAACCTGTCATACACACATAACTTTTCAGTCACATCATCTCTAATTTCAATCAAAATCCAAACTTTGCGCTGAACTAAACACAGCCGTAGATCTGTATTATTGGAGATCAAGACTGTACAATGCGTACATTTACACCAACTTGGTTGAATGCACACACATGAACATATTGAAGATGACAGTCAACCCCACGACGTCGTCGATCATCGTTGCATGTGCTTCGATCATGCATCCAACATAACTACATCCTCTACTCTCCTATGTGTGGTCATGCAAGATTCTCTGCAGGATCTTGCTATCTCGGGCCCTCTTGAGATTTTTCTGGTCCAAGGAAAAAAAAATAAGCACTCCTATTGTTCATCCTTTAGCTTATAAACCAAAATTTAAACTTCAAAATTTAATTTTGGGACAGATTTTTGGGTTAACGGTAGTTTATTTTACAACATTTGTATTTAAACAGCTAAGAATGTATATCTATATATATATATATATATATATATATATATAAGTTTTATTTATAAATTATTTTTGTTTGTTGGTAAACCGTTACAGCTTATAATCAACAATGTAGTGACAACTAAAATTTCTTGGAACTATTAAAGCTCTTTTGAACTGCTTCAATTTCGGGAAATATTTTTTAACAATTTGAATTTCTCCCGATGAGATTTTTATATGTATAGTGGGTACTGCTGGATTTTCCCCCGAAACTGAGATGAACACAAACTAGAACTAGAGTTCTACTTATTACATAGAAGCGTAGCTCACGATATAAGAGATCATGACAACGGCGACAACATATTGAATTGAGCCGGCATTTAATTATACATAGCCAAAGTACATACTACTAGTATGCATACGTATATTTATACTCTATACTCTATACTATCTACCATTTCATCACTGCCAGTGAGATTTAATTCGCTGGTAAATTAACTAAACAAAATGTAGCTTACTGTAGCACTCCTACGCTATACGTACGTTTGACATTAACTCTTTTCGTGGCACATCTTAACTCCATGGATCATCATATCGATCGAGCTGTAAATAAATAGATAAAATAAATAATCAGTGCTGAATTATTAACATCCAGTAATGCAATTATATATGCAATGATCGCCTATATAAGCAGTTCATTGGACGCCCTTGCTCTTCACCTGCAAACAGTGCAACTACTATTGAGAGCCACACACAACTGTAGCTTCGCCATGGGAGCAAGCTGGCTGCTCCTCCATGGCGCGGCGCTGATGATACTGATGGCGGCGGCGGCCGCCGGTGAGACGACGGCGACGGCGTCGGTCGTCGTCGGCGCGGCCAAGTGCGCCGGCTGCGGCAGGAAGAACATGGACGCCGAGACCGCTTTCAAGGGTAAGTACGAATGCAAGCAACTACTCGCTCCGTTTCGAAATGTTTGACACCGTTGACTTTTTAGCACATGTACACCGTTGACTTTTTAGCACATGTTTAACCGTTCGTCTTATTCAAAAACTTTTGTGAGATATGTAAAATTATATGAGAATCAAATGATAGGAAAAGAATTAATAATTACTTAATTTTTTGAATAAGACGAATAGTCAAACATGTGATAAAAAGTCAACGGCGTCAAACATTTCGAAACGGAGGGAGTATATACGGAGTACACTCTTGATGATGGGACAGTGGTATTTGACAAAGATTACAATTGACACCTCTCATAAATTAAAAGTAGAATATACGCGATATTTGGGTACAAAATAACCATCGAGTCGATTATATAAACATTGTTATGTTTAGATCTAAAAGTGCGCACATCCTCTACCATAACGACAGATGTTGTAACAGACACCTATTGACATGTGTGGGCCTGTTATCACAGATGATATTGCTTGGGCCAAAAACTTACTAGCAGGCCATAGGATTATGCTTTACCTAGGCTCAAGAAAATTCTTGGATCAGTCACTGTAACCGATTCGCTTTGATTAAAAGAAACTGTGTCATCTAACTGTGCATTTGCATGATCACCAATCAAAGCAACTATTAAATGCACAAAAATGTTGTGTTTATTTTTGTTCATTTTGTTGACAGGACTTAAGGTGGCGATCAAGTGCAAGAACGGCAGCAGCGAGGAGTACGAGAGCAAGGCCGTCGGCGAGCTCGACGGCGCGGGCGCGTTCGCCGTGCCGCTCGCCGCCGACCTCCGCGGCGCCGACTGCGTCGCGCAGCTGCACAGCGCGGCGACCGACGCGCCGTGCCCCGGCCAGGAGCCATCCAAGATCGAGCCGCTGTCGTCGGAGGGCGAGACGGGCACCTTCGTCGCCGTCGCCGGCAAGACGCACCTCCCGTCGTCGACGTCGTCCTCGCCGGAGTGCTCGTCGGTGGCCATCTGCTTCCCCTGCCACAGGCGCCATCGCATGTTCCACAGGAAGCCCATGCCGGAGTACCAGCCGCCTCCCTCGCCGGTGTACGGCACGCCGGCGCCGGGATGCTCATGCTCCCCTCCCAGCACGCCGCCGGGATACGGCCAGCCGGCGCCGGAATGCCCCCCTGCCGACCCGGGTTACGGCCAGCCAGCGCCGGAGTGCCCTCCTCCTCCCACGCCGGCACCGGAATGCGGCCAGCCGGCGCCGGAATATCCTCCTTCCACGCCGGCATACGGAACGCCGGCGCCGGAGTGCCCACCATCCACGCCGGAATACGGAACGCCGGCGACGGCATGCCCACCTCCCACGGCGCCGGGATACGGATCGCCGTCGCCTTTCTGGCCCCCTGTCTCGCCGGCGTACGGCACGCCATCGCCGACTCCGATCTACCGTCCCCCGGGGAGCCACTGATCGATCGATCGAGTTCACTGCTCGATCTCCATTTCCACCAAATAAGTTGATGATGTAGCTACTGTATCTCGCAACTACTGGCGTGCATTTCATTTATCGGAGAAATTAATGGATGCAAAGCCACGCGTGCGTGTTCATGGCTTCTTGCGTGTTTACGGCATTTGGGAATGTGCTTTGCATGCGCTGAATTGATGTTGATTTTAACAATGCAGTACGTGATAATAATTAACATTCAAGTATGCAAGTCTAATTACTGGCAAATATCTCTTGTTGTATAATGTCCTGTGTATTGATCTGGATCAGGGGTCGACAGGGTCATGCTGGGCGAGAGTCCCTCTAATAAACTAGAAAAAACTACTATAAATTTTGACGAAACAAATCTAACCATCGATTTCAACCAATAAATCTTTCTTCTAAGTCAATAGCTCAAACTAATATGTGCAAAATTTGCTACATGATATAAAAAAAATGTAACTATCTAGGGGACACCGCAAGAACACGTTTCTGTGCTAGGGCACTGCAAAAAAGTAGTAATTATTTACTAGACACCCGTAATATTATTTTATTATATCCGAATAAATTTAAGAGTGAAACAGTTATGAAAGTACGATACTACCCTTCAAACCCGATCAAGCCTCACTCACATGTTGGGACCCACCTATCGTCCCCCTCCCTTGCGTGGCACCACAAGCGAGTGCACGGTCATCTTTCTGCCCTATACGTAGATGTGTATATATAAAATTTATACATATATTATATAAAGAAGGTGAAAGTTCAAGTTGCCTCTCTAAACTTATGTCGTACGATTTACCCCCTAAACTAATTAAAATACCAATATTTCACACCCTGAACTCTTAACTCTAAACGAATTATCTCCTAACTCATTCGAGAGTGGTTTTCGACCTACGTGTACAAGTTGCAATCTAGTCAGTAAATACAAATAAAAAATCGGTGAGGCCCAATTGTCAGTGATGCGTGTTTATCCTCAGCCTCAACGGACGATAATTGGGGCCGCGAGTGCGGGCGGGAGTAGAAGCTAGAGGAGCAGGACGATTCCACCTCACCAAGGCTTCAGCAATAACGAAGGCAGTGCTCCCGTTGCGGCGGCGAGGTAGCTGCCACCTCTCTCTATGCCGGGACAGAGGAGGCTAGATATCTGACCGTTACTTCCTCCGTTTCTAAATATTCGATGCCATTGACTTTTTTAAATATGTTTAACCATTCATCTTATTAAAAAAAATTTAAGTAATTATTAATTCTTTTCCTATCATTTGATTCATTGTTAAATATACTTATATGGATACATATAGTTTTACATATTTCACAAAAGTTTTTGAATAAGATGAACGATCCACTATGTGTTAAAAAATCAACGGTGTAAAATATTTAGAACAGAGGGAGTAATTTGCAAGCCACAGCTGCCAGTACAGGAACCCAGGATGGGAAGACGAGGCAGCGGTGACTACGCGATATATAGCCGACAAGGAGGTAATCCCCAGGCGACGGCTGGCCACGATGGCGTCTCCGGCGTCGCATGCCTCAATCACACGGGGAGCATGCACGAGACGGATTCGGACAGAGACAGTCGTCGTGAAGAAAAAAGCACAAGACGGACATAGCAGCTAATTAAATCAACTACTTGCATGCATGCTAGTCATCATCATAAATCTTCTTCTTCTTCATTGGTAAAGCTCGTTGCAATGCTACGTGCCAGTGGCGGATCCAGAAAATCGATTCGTTGGTGTCATATAACATATCTATCGATGTCTTAATATGCTAATTATGCTTAGATCATAATGTTATAACATATGGATAAAGAGTTTCACTATAGGTTTTACCAAAAGTGTTGGGTTTAGTCCCACATCCACTGGTGGAAAACTGGGACTACGAATCCGGGACTAAAGATCGCTATCTTTAGTCCCGGGTGAAATAACCAGGAGTAAAGATCGATATAAAGAGAGGGATCTTTAGTCCCGGTTAATGCTACCAACCGGGACTAAAGAGAGGATAGGGGCAGTCCCGGTTGGTCTATTTTCTTTTTATTTTCTCCCAAGTGGGATGTATATACCCAGATCAAACAACAAATCCCCAAATCGAGTGTCATGCATATACCTAAATCAAACCCCAAATCTCCAAATTCAAAGTAACATCACAAATCATTCACATCACAAATACAAATCCTAAGTTACTTACACACAAATCAAATACATCACAAATCTTAAAAAAATTACACACAAATCAAATGCATCACAGATCGATTATACATCTCAGATCCATGCAATGAATCACAAATTCTAAAAAAGAAATTATACATCTCTCAATCACAAATTATAAAAAAAAAAAGAAAGGAGAGCCGGCGCGTCCCCGCCGCGCGCGCCGCGCGCTACCCCACCGCCCGCCGCGCGCTGTGCCTCGCCGCCCGGCCACTGCGTGAGGGCACGCGAGGCCACCTCCGTCGCCGCCTGGCCGCTGCGTGAGGGCGCCTCCGCGCTTCCCGGCCGCGCGAGGCCGCCTCCGCGGCCGCCCGGCCGCCGCCGCCTGAGAAGTGGGGAAGAGACGGGAGGGGGCGGATCCAGAGGAGGTTGAGAAGTGGGGAGGAGAGGGAAGGAGGCGGATCCAGAGGAGGTAGAGGAAGAGATGGGAGGAGAAAGAGGAAGAGGAAGAGATGGGAGGAGGAGGAAGAGGAAGAGATGGGGTGAGTGAGGAGAGAAGGAGATAAATGTCAGAACTTATTAACTGATCCTCCCGTGCGCCTTGGTCCTCTCGATCTCGCACGGTGCATGTCGATTGGTGTTAGGTTGGTGTAAAATAAGTTAATAACTTATTTTATTTAAATAAGTTATTTTAAATAACTTATTTTGTTTTATAAGTTATTTTATTTTATCTTATTTTATTAATAAGTTATTTTATTTACACACACCTCCCGGTTGGTGTCACCAACCGTGACTAAAGATAAAGAGGGGTCTGACACCACCTGCCGTCTTTTAAACCGGGACTAAAAATAATCTTTAGTCCCGGTTGATGTTACCAACCGGGACTAAAGATCAAAAAGTAGCTCTAACCTTTTGAACCGGGACTAAAGATCATCTTTTGAACCGGTTTTTAGTGGAACCGAGACTATTGTGGATTTCGGCCGACCGACCAAAGATGGTTTCTCCACCAGTGATCGGTAATTGATGATGGGGAGTATGACTTAAAAGGTGGGAGCAATCCTCACCCAAGAGACTAGTCTGTTGGGTTGTGTAGGTCCAGGACCTAAAATTGTGGCTCCGGTTGAATCTGGGGTGGAGCAAGCCCAATGTGATCTGGGTGGTCCACGGTTGGTGGGCCGAGCTGCGAACTCTAACATAAAGTCATCGGTATTACTTAACACCGGTCTTTTTACTGTAGATCCACCCCTACTACGTACTAGCATAGCTAGAGCCCTTTAACTGTAGATCCGCTCCTACTACGTACTAGCATAGCTAGAGTGCGACGACGCCGATGAAGACGACTGGGCTACGAAAGGGTAAATTGTACTACTGCATAATGTAGAGGGTGATTTGAACTTTACATTAATATACAATATAAACTTTGTATATACACTTATAAAAATCTTTGCATATGTATAAACTTTATATAAGTATGTATACACTTTAAATGTAAAAAAGATTTATATGTATGTGTACAGAGCGAATTTTCTAGGATTTATCCGTCGACAGCGAGGCGCCTGTGGTAACTTGGTAACTTCGTCAATCTTAAGGATTTGCCGGCCCAGTATTCAAAGATGCTCATAGGGGTAGGGTTTACGTGCGTGCGTTCATAGGGGTGAGTGTGCGTGTGCTGTGAGTGACTACGTTGTTAAAAAAAACTCGGTAAGTATACATACAAACCTCGTATATATGTATAAAAATAAAAAATTCCATGGACCCATAAACTTAAGGCAACAACATGTGATTTTTTTTGTTTCCGTTGTTATTCTATTTGTAATTAACTAAACAATTTAAGATCATATCACCCATATTTTAAAAATATGTATGATTAGCAAAGATCGTTAGTGCGGAAATTATAGCAAAGAAGCCGCATCTGTTTATTATTATTTTTTTGTGAGGTGCTTAATTAGTCAAGGCAATTAGTAGCATTAGAGCCGTATATATATATATATATATATATACTGGTTTATTATTTTTTGATGTGTTGCATGTCGATCGGTGGTTGGAATTGATATGACTTGCATAATTGGTCTAGCCCTTACCTAATAAATTAGTTCACAGTTCGTTTTGTGCTTTTCGATTTTGTCGAGTGGGTAATGAGTTGCCCTCAGGCGATATTAATTCATAATTAATTATTAATAGGATATGTCAGGTTTGAGTTCGTCGTGTCCCCGTATCTTTTGTGCGGGTTCGTATCCTCTAACATCAAGCAGTAATGACAGAGAGTGAGCAGTGATGTGATATAATAGTATATGTATTCCCGAAACCACGTGTTACTACTCTTAGGCTGCATTCGAGCGCAGGAGAAAGAGAGAAAGATTGTTTCGTTTTTCACGTGCACGCTTCTTAAACTACTAAACGGTATGTTTTTTTCAAAAAATTTATGTAGGAAAGTTGCTTTAAAAAATCATATTAATCCATTTTTGAAGTTTAAAATAGCTAATACTTAATTAATTATGTGCTAAGGCTCACCTCGTTTTACGTATCTTTCCAATCTTCTCGATCCCCTCCTTTTCAAACACACCCTTATTCTGGTCGTGATCTCTTGTGATACAGGTCGAAGAGCTCATCTCAAATCATTGAGCGTGTTTATTATAGAACAATCTTTACCAGTTATATTTAATAAATTGTGAGAATTTTTTTTCATGTTACTTCCTCCGTTTTATAATGTAAGTTATTCTAGCATTTCTGACATTTATATTGATGTTAATGAATCTATACAGATATACGGATGTCTAGATTCATTAACATCAATATAAATATGGAAAATATAAGAATAATTTAGATGGTAAAACGGAGGAAGTATCTGGTACGTGAAAGAGAAGTAATCGATCGTCCGCTGCTCACCACCCTCTCGATCGTGTCACCGGGAGCACAACTTTTTAAATTTGCCTTGTGGAGAGATGGTGTGAGTTTTTACGGTCCTTTGGTTGAGTTTTTGATTTAAACTATATCTATGCAACTATTCATGGTCGGTTTGGTTTGGTTATAATTATTGAACAGTGAACAGTAAATGAAATGATCAGAAAACAGATGGGATATGTCAGTCACGTGTCAATTATACGGGATGATTCTAAACTTTTCAGACCACATCATTCATTGTTTATATATCATCCAAATAATAATAAAACAATTTAAATTAATATCTGATAAATCACTACCGATATGTAAATTTAAATTTAACTGTAAGACAAATTTGACTAAGCTATACTTTAATGTGTTATTTATTTAATGTAATATGTAGAAGTCAAATTTAACTTGTATGTTTGTGAAATAATATATCAAATATTTGTCTATCCTGCTAACATTTAAAAAAAATATTTAACAATATCCCATTGGGAGTTTAAAATTCATTTCCTAGTTTAATAAAGTGAGGGTACGGTCTCAGCTCCAATGAAGCACAGCCAAACGGTTTCAGCTCCGTCAAAAAGGGAGTGAAATAGGCTGGAGTACTCTAGAAAATGAACTAGAGAGCTGGAGCTGAGTTTATGCTCCACAACTTCACTCTAGACATAAATCCTGAAGAAAAATTTAGAAGTTGAAGCCTTATCAAATACTCGGTCCGTCCAGATCCTAGTCCTATGTATCTAGACAGTAAGACAGTTAGGGATGGCAATTTCCCCCGCGGGGCCGGGTCCCCTGCGGGGAGTTGGGGCCGGGCCCTGTATTTGGGCGGGGAGGGGACGGGAGAGACATTTCACCCGCAGGGCCCCGGGGGATGTATATTAAACTCTTAAAATGTAGCGCATAAAAGGCCCAATAGAACCCAATACAACAAAATAGTGACATATATAAACAAAACCCTAGCTCTCTCTCTAGTCTCTCCCCAACCCCATCTCCCCTCCCGTCTCACACATAGGCGACGGCGGCGGCGCTTCACAATGCAGGTCGCCAGGGCACGGCGGTCGCCCTCTCGGCCTCTCCCATCCCCAGCTCCCCTCCTCTTTCCTCCCCTCCTCTCCCCTCTCCGGTTACCCTCTCCCGCTCTCCCTCCGGTCTACCGAGTGCCGACGACGCACGTCGCACGGGCGGTGCGCAGGGCACGGTGGCCGACGAGCCGCGCGGCGGTCGGCGCAACGCACAGGCGCTGTGGTCGGCGAGCCGCGAGGGGAAGCGCTGTGGCCGGCGAGCCGCGAGGGGACAGGCACGGCGGCCGGCGAGCCGCACGGCGCACAGGCGCGGCCACCGTTCGGAGAGTCAATTATGTACAATTATGCTATTTTTGATGGTGTGTGAATTTTGTACCATTTTTGTTCTTGCCGAATTGATAGCTGTCTTGTATTTCTTATGCTGATGGGATGGAGATTTTATTCAATGCGGGCCCCAGTCAGGGTGCGGGGCCACGGAGGGGTCGGGGACGGGGCTAGATTTAGCCCCGCATCTCCAGTCGGGACCGGGGGCGGGGGCAGGGGGTGAAGTCGGGGGTCGGGAGCGGGGCCGTTCCAGCCCAACCCGGCCCCGCCCTGCCCCGTTGCCATCCCTACAGACAGTCCAGATTTATAGTAGTAAAATGTACTCCATTTAACCAAAACTTCTTATATTTTGAGACGGAAGGAGTAGACCCTTGGTGGCGGGCCCAACTAATTTCAGTACAAAGACAGCCACTCCAGATATTAGGTGGTGGTAGTACTTGTCAGTACTGATAGCTAAATACAGTGACATATATTAACTATTTCTTTATGTCTTATTCACTCGGCTCTAGGCATCATTGGTATTCTGATCTAGACATATTGTAAAAGGAAAAAAGGAAAAAGAAGCATTGCTAAGGCCTAGTTCGCGAAAAGAAAATATTTGAGTGTCACATCGGACGTTTGACCGAATGTCAGAAGGTAATACACGAATGAAAAAAAATAATTTCATAACTCGTCTGAAAACCGCGAGACGAATCTGTTAAGCCTAATTTAGTGCAGCACTTATAGCTAATCATGGACTAATTATGCTCAAAAGATTTGTCTCGCAATTTTCATGCAAACTGTACAATTAATTAATTAGATTTTGTTTTTATCTATATTTAATGCTTCATGTATATATCTAAAGATTGGATGTAATGTTTTTTTTGTTAACCAGGCCTAATACTGATATTCTGGCCTTGAAATGTACTAGCCCATGCTGCACAGTGCACAGCTAGCACGATAAAATATAATCTTGACACAGCTGCACGTTGCGCCATTAGCCATGGAGTCCGGCGGCTTCCTTGCACGTCGTCCCGAGCCATGCGCCGCCGCCGCCGACCCCGACGACGGCGACGCCCGCCGCGGCGGTTGGCGCGCCGCCTTCTTCCTCGTCGGTAAGTGGCGGCTTCTCAGGCTTTAGTGATGACATCATCTCTCTCAGCCAGGCTTAATTTGTTGCTGACGTGTGCATGCATGGCCATGGCGCAGTCGTCGGGTTCTTGGAGCGGATTGGGTTCTTCGGCGTGCAAGGCAACCTGATGCTGTACCTCACCGGCCCGATGGCCATGTCCACGGCGGCGGCGGCCACCGCGGCGAACGCCTGGGGCGGGACGGTGCTGGTGCTCACGCTCGCCGGCGGCCTCGCCGCCGACTCCTCCGGCCTCGGCCGGTACCGCGCCGTCATCGTCGCCAGCGCGCTCTACCTGCTCAGCTTGGGGATGCTCACGGCGTCGTCGTCGTCCATGGCGGCGCAGCGAGCCACGTCGCCGCCGTCGTCGTCCGCCGGCGGCGCCGTCGTCGTCGTCTTCTACGCCGCGCTCTACCTGCTAGCTCTGGCGCAGGGCTTCCACACGCCGTGCGCCGAGGCGTTCGGCGCCGACCAGTTCGAGAGAGAGGGTGACGACGATGGCGGCGGCGGCGGCGGCGCGCGGCGGCCTGCGTCGCGGAGCTCATACTTCAACTGGTACCACTTCTCCATATCCTGGGGCTACGTCATCTCCACCACCTTGCTCAGCTACGTCGACGAGAACGTCGGCTGGACCGTCGGGTTCGCCGCGTGCTGGGCCACCATGGTGCTCTACCTCGCCGTCTTCTTGCTCGGCACGGGGACGTACCGCCGCGCCGAGCGACCTGCCATCGACGGCGCCGCCGCGGCGCGTCGTGCGTGGACGGCGAGGTTCTTCTTCTTCTTCTCCCGAAACCGAAAGGATGCCGCCGAACAGCTTCTAGAACCACAAGAGGAGGTGGTGGTGGTGGTGGATGGCCATGGCGATGGCGGCAGGGGATTCTTCCTTGTGAAGCTTCTTCCGATCTGGCTGAGCAGCATAGTGTTCGCCGTCGTCGTCTCGCAGGTGTCCACCCTGTTCACCAAGCAGAGCAGCACAATGGATCGGCGCGTCGGCAGCGGCGGCGGCGGCGGCCTCGTCTTGCCGTCGGCGGGGCTGCAGTGCCTCGTCAGCTTCACCTACATCGCGGTGCTGCCGGTGTACGACCGCATGGTGGTGCCGCTCGCGAGGCGCCTCACCGGCGGCGGCGGCGGCATCACAATGCTCCAGCGCATCGGCGCCGGCATGGCGACGGGCTGCCTCGCCATGGCCGTGGCGGCGCTCGTCGAGGCGAGGCGGCTCCGCGTGGCCCGCGACGCCGGCCTGGTCAACCGGCCGGGCGCGACGGTGCCGATGGGGGTGTGGTGGCTGGTGCCGCAGCACGTGCTGATCGGCGTCGCGGAGGTGCTCGCCGTGATCGGGCTGGAGGAGTTCTTCTACGACCAGGTGGCCGGCGAGCTCCACAGCGTGGGGCTCGCCGTGTCCCAGGGCGTGATGGGCGTCGGGAGCTACGCCAGCGGCGCGCTCGTGGCGGCGATCGACTGGGCGACGGCGGCGAGGAGCGGCGGCGGAGAGAGCTGGTTCGCCGACGACCTCAACCGCGCGCACCTGGACTACTTCTACTGGTTGCTCGCCGCGCTCGCCGCTCTGGAGGTGGCCGTGTTCGTCTACCTTGCGCAGCGATACGACTACAAGAACAAATCCAAGCCATGATCGATCGTATTCTTTTCTGATTTTGTATCTTCTTATTTTAGATATGAACAATGGCGTGACGTTATCATTTAGAAAAAATATCAAACATATTCTTTTAATTGTATATCCCTACTATTATAAAAAGAGTAAAGTGCACAGGTAGTCCTTAAACTAATAATGGTGTGTCATCTAGATCCTTAAACTCTTAAAATGTATATCCAAATTCTAGAACTTGTCATAGTGTGTCATATAAGTCCCAATTCACCACAGCCCCTTTCTACATGGCGCTGATGTGGCATGCCACACGGACATAACGTGACAAACGGAACCCATTTAAAAATTTTCCTTTTTCCTTTTTCTTCTGTTCTTCTATTTTTCTTCTCCTTTTTTTTTCTTTCTTCTCCTTTCTCTGCGACCGGAGCATAAGAAAGGAAAGAAAAACCGAAGAATGACAAGAAAACAAAAAGGAAAAAGAAAAAGAAAAAGAAAAGAAGAAGAAAAAAGAGAAAATGACACGTCACGTTCATGTGGTGTGACACATCAGCGCCGCGTAGGATCCTAAAGGGGCTATATCGATTTGGGACCTAAATGATACACTTTGACAAGTTCTGGGACCTGAATCTGTATTTTGAGACTTTGGAGACCTAGATGACACAACCTTACGAGTTTAAGGACCACATATGCACTTTACTTTTACAAAAATTAAAGATATTTTTGCCGGTGTTTTGGTACGTCATTCGTGTTTGAGTCGGTTTTTAAATCACTCGCTTTTGGAAATACAGATCTGTGTTTGAGTCGTTTTTTTAAGTTCGTTCGCTTTTGAAAATACAAAAAGAGTCGTATAAGAAATCTCTTTAAAAAAACATACATGATAATTACTTGAGATAATCAAACTTCTAATTACAGCTCATAATTTTGTAAAAGAAACAAATCCAAGTGAATTCCCATAGTAAATTTCACCTTAACTAAACCGTATAATAATAAGATGATTAACTTATCTAAAAAATAATAATATGATTAAAATAACCTTTCCGTTGCAACGCACGGATATTTTTTCTAGTGTAGATAAGAGAGAGAGAGAGAAGAGTAAATGATGCCTTCTGTTTATTAGCATACATTCTAATAGGAGGAGACTATATCAAATGGTGTGCGCTGAATTGTCCTAATCAGCGACCTTGTTACTAAAAATAGCAGGCATGTCGATGGGTACGTGCCAAATAAGCGATTGCATAGGGCCTCCAATTTTTTTCCCATATAAACATGAGGCCCACTTCCAATTGCCCAGCTATAGCTTGCAACTGCCAATAGCCCAATTAGGCAGATCGATCAGCAAGGTCATGCTAGATTGCCAGGGGTGGGGCACTATTGGACTGTGCGATGGCCTAACTTGGCCCTGCTGCTAGCTGGCTGCTCTGCGATTCTGATTCCGCGCCGTGACAACTGCTGAGACGTCCATCCCAATTCCATGCACAGTGACTGGCGAGGCGGCGACACAACTTGCTGCTTGTGATTCCGAGGCTCCGAGCGGCAACGGTGACGGCAAAACAGCTGCCTCGCCTCGGCTCCTGCCTTCCCCCTCCTCGTCCGCTCATCATCCTCGACTCGACTCTTGACAGCTTGACCTCGGACCGGTAAGATTAGACAGTGATTGAGTACATATATGATAGATTGTAAATTCATAATATGCATCAAATTACCATGAGTTCATGATTGTAGTTTATAATTTGAATGATCCATTAAATCAAATTACAATGTTTGAATAAAATTACTTGTATTGTACATTACAACACATATTACATCTATATAATTGAGCGAAAATATGTTTTATTTATATTAGACATAACTTTTTAAATTATAGGGCATTTGCATTTCACCCTAGGGCCCCAAATTTCTAGAGACGGCCCTAAAAAATAGTACCACTGCACCTTTCACTCTCTAAAAATAATACCGCTCATGAACAGATCATGCTTTTGAAGTTTTCCAACCTACCAATTTCATGTGTTGCCTTGGCCAAAGAGCCCACCTACTTCCTAACACCTAAACTTCAAATAAAATTTTCTCTTAAATTACTAATCTGATATACAATCAGATTGTATCATTATGTTCATTGCAACTTAATTTTTATAACAAGATCTCACATAATTATATTTTAATGGAAGAAGAATATGTGTAGTAAATTACTTTTGTGTATCTATAAATTACTTTTAGATTGGATTAGATTACTTCTTAGACATTCTCATAATATTGTGAATATGTTACTTTTATTGTTGTTTTTAGTTAGTTCTATAATTTATGTTGATTCAATTTAATTTCTAGATAGACACATGTTTTTACCACCACAACTGATTTACTTTAAATTTTAATACCATGATAACTTACTTTTATTTTGTGTTAAGTTACTTTTATAATTTGTGTGAATTATTTTCAGGCTTTATTGAATTTACTTTCATAAATATCTAAGAAGTAATTTATTCAAATCTAAAAGTAATTATAAGTAGTTATATTTAGAATCATGCAAAATTATCCCACATCCTTTAAACATGTGCCAAATAATGCAAAAGACATATAAACAAAACAAACTGTACCATAAAACTGTCAAATCGACATAAATTTTATCATTATTTTTAACTCCTCTAAGAACATAGTTACTTCTAATACTGCGAAGAGTTACCTTTCTCTAGTAGTATAGCTACTTCTAATAATGTGAAGAGTTACTTCTATTTTTTAGTTACTTCCCTCTAGCATCAAGTGGTACTTAAGTTACTTCTAATACCATGAAAAGTTACTTCTATTTTTTGAGTTATTTCTCTCTAGCAGTCTAGTTGCTTCTAGTATCATGAAGAGTTACTTCTGTTTTTCATAATTTCTTCCCTCTAACAATGTATTACTTCTAATACCTTGAAGAGTTACCTTCCATATGTTGCAAAATTACATTTTTTGAAAAAAAAATATAGTGGTTACTTCAAATAAAGAAAATATTTGTATTTACTTAAAAATCTTCGTACATTTTACTTGTGAATTTACTTCACATAGTTATTACAACTGACCTGCTACGTAATTAGTTCTATTACTATGGAGAGTTATTTCTATTGAATAACTAAGTTACTTCTAAAATTTAAGTAAATTACTTTTAAATATTTGAATATATTCGATATTTTGAGTGTAGTAGGATGGTTCAAACGAATTTTAAAAGTAATGTGTGGTTTAAAAGATATAAATCATCAAAAGTTCTATAAGAAAGATAGACTAGTATAACTAATCTTGTTGGTTGGTGGTGGCCTCAATACGTAGCAGGTGAAAGGGCGCACGCCGTGACAGTACTTAATGTCAACCTTAAATGCATCCGTCGCTGGATAAAGACAAAATAGTGTGCACATTACTTGTTGACTCGCACGGATGGATGGCTGGTAGACGCGTCGCGCTATAAGACGAAACGAGAGCACGCACGATTTAGATTTTGCAATTCTAAAAGATATCTTGATAGCTTATATATATCCTATAATATGCCTATATAAAAATAACATTCATTATACTATGTCATCTAGATATAACATGAAAATATTTCAAAAAAAATATCCATGGATATCTAAGTTATATATGTATTATTCCTATCACTTATAATAAAATCTATTTTGGGTGAATCAGTGAAAAAATTCATTGAAAATGCTTTAGTGAAAAAAATGCACAATACAAACATCGCATGAAAAATGCATGGGTTGATAAAATTAATCAAATCTACCAGGTTTTAGCAGAGTAACGACATTGCTTTGTGAAGACTCTACTTCCTCCTTTCAGACTAAATTTGTGCATGTGGTGCTTGCAGTTGGTCGGGTGACTCGTCACCTCTGTACGTGCATCTATCTCGCCTACTTGTCGCAGTACCCACTCAGTAGTCAGGAGAAGCTATTGTGGCGCCTCCGCGTGAGAAATCCATGTTGCTAAAGCATAAAAAGCCCATCCTGCAGGCGTGAACAAGCTATATATTCCTGATGCATACGACGATGCTGCATGTGTTGCGGGTAATAGAACTGTGCCGCTCTATTAATGCAGGTACAGCAAGGATTGTTACTCCTCTATATACATATCCGATGTATAGAGGCAACCAATGTTATAAAACCAGCACCGAAATCGACATCGGTAGCTAAATGTGGAAGAAAACACCGTAGTAGATCCAAACACGATGACGACACCAAGGCACTATATTTGATAACGGAGTTCAGCCGAGGCTTACATCTCCGAAGCACTGATTACGGGCGCTCCTCCCCGATCCAGCATATTACAACGTATCAGAGTGACAACGACTCACGACCGGTCACCGCCGGCAGCCGCTCCCTCTCGCTATGCTATGTCGCCATGCGGTTACAACAGGCACGCCCTTCTATTTATGAGAGATCCTAGAATAGAGTCCGACTCATACTCTAGTCCTACACCTAATACAACTCCAAGTCCTAAACTCTAACCGACTACGTACACATATTCGACACAAACTCTAACAAACTCCACCTTGGCGAATATGCCACGCCAATCCAAATTCGTTACTTGCTCGAATTTCAGTGTACCAGGACTTGAGTTGATCCTTTTTCGCCGCTCACACCGAGCCGCCCTGACAAGCCTCCACCAGGCTCATCGTAACAAGATACTCCAGTATCCCTGTAATTTCTTCCTTCTGACTCCACCCGCAACAATGCTCCACCTTCTCTCATATCACCACAGTCATCTTGCCAAGCGAATTGAATTCTTCCTAGCTGTCACATCATAGACTTCTCGAAGACCATGTTCACCTCTATCTACCGTCTTAAGTATGACTTGATATAATCCATGGCTAGATAACCGATGTCATAACCAAATAGATAAATCAAACTCACCAGACATGGAGAAAACCCTTTCTTCCTTATCATCTTATGAACCGAGCTAATAAATCCAACATCCACACTTTTTCGCATCCGTAGACTGAATTCCTGATAATTTGAGAAAATCACCGTTGCTTTGAATCATTCGAAGAAATTACCACCATAGCGCTTGCTCTTCTCCTTCAGTGACGCAGATTCTATATATCCCCATCATGCAAACCCTGCAGATTATGGATATATTCTGTACTGCCAAACGATTTTCACCCGCTGTTGCCCGGGACGTTCTTCACGCACGCTTGTTGTCACACACCTACACCCGAGCTGCACCTTTTGCACTGATAGCTTGGCCACAATTGATCGAAGGGCTCCCCGAAGTGCTAA